AATATTCAAAGGCTTTTATTTTCATGAACAGCAATCTTCCGGTTATAAACAAATAAACATTAAGGGTCAGTAACAACTAAAAAAATAAAGAAAATAATATTTTTATTCCGTACGAAGACTAAATTGCCCAAAAATGTCATCAAAAAAATAAAATAATTATGATTTCTGCAAAAAAAAGGCATCGAAATAAGTAAACAATAAAATATAATAAAATAAATCCTATAAACAATTAAACAGTTTGGGTCAGTAGCAATTAAAAAAATAAAGAAAACAATATTTTAGTTTAGCAATTAATGGACTAAATTGGTAAAAAAAAAAAAAAAATCCATCAAAAATTTTTTTCTTTTTTTTTATTGATAACTATGATTTCTACAAGAAAAGCATTAAAATAAGACCTGAAAAAAATATATATCTTTTTTTTATTTTATTTTATGATCAAAAGTTCATTAAAAATTAAAAATAATTATGAATTCTACAAAAAGGCATCGAAATAAGTAAATGATAAAACATAATAAAAAGATTCTAGTAACAAATTTAGGGTTAGTAGCAACCAAAAAACAAAGAAAATAATCATTATACTTAGCAAAACTGGACTAAATTGGTAAAAAAAAAAAAAATCCATAAAAATGTAGAATAATCACAATTCCTACAAAAAGGCATCAAAGTAAGTGAATATTAATCCAATAAATTATATAAACATTTAGGGGAATGGACTAAATTGCTCAAAAGTTAATCAAAAAAGAAAAATAATCATGATTTCTACAAAAAAAAGACTTTGACCATGTAGAATCACCATATCAGCACTATTTCTCAAATTCCACACATTTTTCAGTGTTTTCAGACTTTAGGATGCCACTGTGAACTTTGCACATTGTTGTGAGGAAATCTGGACATGCACACTTGACTTTTTTTTTAACTGAATGCATAGTACTGAACCAACCCTCAATACATTTCCCCAGCGAATCATCCCCGTCTTCACCTTCCTCATTCAGTATCCATTAGGTTACCGATATTCTTGGCCTGATCACATTATGGTGACTGTGCTGTTATATCAGCTACTCGTCATGAGGCTTTCAAAATATTGAGCAGTCGTAACGCGAGATGACTTGCACTGTGCAGGACGAGTGCTTGGCAAAGTCTAACACGACATGCTGCCTTTAACACTGATATTTGGGGACAAAAAGGCACTGTAACAAAATGAGATGCATAAATAAAGGTTGTACTGTACATTTGGTAAAACTGCAGTAGCACTAGAGAGACGGTCTTGGCAAAGTCAGACTCGTCAATACACTTTTGGCACATGAAAGATCGCGCTTACATGGTACAGGACAGGTATAAATACTTAGTTGTGTCAAATAAATAACAGTCCTTAAAATACTAACCACCTACAACACTGGATTAGTACAACTGCTGACAGCTGAAGGCCTTACGGTCAGTTATTTTATCATTAAATGCAATGAAATACTGTATCAGGTAAGACTATTCACATCAGTTTTATCGCCCTTGTAACAGTCATATCAAATAGGGAGCACAACAAGATGATAACATTTTAATGGAATTTATCTACATCTCAATGGTGTTATTTTGTTTGAGATATTAAAGGGATGGCTCACCCAAAAATGAAAATTTGCTCACTATGTACTTACACCTAAATGCAAAAAAATATATATATAAAAAAAGATATTTTGAAGAATGTTATAAACTGGTAACCTTAAGCTGTGTCTCATTTCAGACGATGCATCCTTCGAAGAAAGCAGACTTCAAAGGTGAGTTCTTATAAGTCCACACAGGCTAAACCAAGCGGCCTACAGAGGACTGATCTCATCACCAGGCAACCGTAACAGCTGCTGTTAATAAGTGCTGATAACATTTGTAATGACTTTTTTTTTTTCAAAGTGATTTTAAAACTTATTTTATGCGATCTGAAGGCAAAACAGAAGCTGGAAATATATTTACTTTGATCCATACATGTACAAATAAACATGTAAACGGTCTATAAAAAATCACTGTTTAGTACATGTCATGCTCTTTTTGTTTTTTCAACATGCGTTTAGATATCCAAGTAAAATAAACCTAATTCATACATTTAAAGCGGAGTTTTCTTTCGCGCAATTATTCTTGGGACGTTCGAGGCTGTGATGGATCCACCGGTTGTTTCCTTCATTACCTGGGAAACGAAGGATGCATTTTGAGGCTGCGTTTGAAGGAACCTTCAAATTTTTTTAAAATGAGACAGCCTTCGTCGGGTGCGCTATGACGCACCGCACTTTGAATGCATCCTCGGAATGAGACACAACTAAAGACAAGAATACTGGGAAAAACAAATACTATGGAAGTCGATGGTTACAGGTTTTCAGCTTTCTTCAAAATTTCTTTTGTGTTCAACTAATAAAGGTTTGAAACACGTAAAGGGTAAGGAAATGATGACAGAGTTTTCATTTTTAGGTGAACTGTCCCTTTAAAAAGAAAGCCCATCCAAAAACTGAAATCATGCTGTAATATTTACTTACCCTGTTAGTCTAGAAATGAAGTTTGATAATAGTTTTCCTGTTTCATTGTACATTTTGACCACACAAATGAAGTCAGTAGGGAAAAAATCAATATCAAAAAAATATACTTTGAGCATTTCTGAGTTTTTGAATGACATGAAGTGATCAAGCGATAACAGAAGTTTATTTTTGAGTGAGCTTCTCTTTTTTTTATAAAGGGATAGTTCATCTGAAAATTACTTTACTCAACCTCAGGCCATCCAATATGTAGGTGACCTTTTTTTTCCTCCAGTAAAACACAGATTTCATCGCAGGCGGCAAAGCGACTGTTCATTTCAACAGAGAGTGTGCGACTTTCGGCGACCTCCGTCTACGCGAGCAACAGCGACCGTTGGCGACCAGTGGGCGTGTCAAGTGACATGACAAAGTTGAGAAACCTTTAACTTTATGCAAATGAAGAGCGACTTTCTTGAGCGACAGCCAATAGGAGCATCGTTAGAACTCATGTGATCCACTTACAGCAGAAGCCGGTGGTATTCGTGCTGTATAGACCTACACAAACCTGCGTTTCAAGCAGGTCACCATCCAGGGCGACATACAGCTCAAAAAAGTCACTGCTAGTGTGAATGAGGCAAAGGTCTTGCACTGTAAAACCCAAAAAAAATCAGGTAACTCAAACCATTTGATGAAACTGATTGCAACAAACTATTCAAGTTCAAAAACTAACCCTAATGGGTACTGTGAACTTAATCCATTTGAGTAAATTAAGCTATTTGAGCATATGTAAAACCTGATAAATGAAGAGAACTCAAACCAACTGAGTACTGTAAAACTAAATAAGGGCCTACTTATACTAATACACACAATGCCATCTGTACCGTGCCCAGGCCCGTTTCCCGGATCGTTTGAGAAGTGTGAGTGCGCTGAATCGGGCTCAAGCACGGTTCACTTGGCCGGCCCTGGCCCGGTTGGAAGAGGTGTGCCTGAGCGAAGTTCACTTGAGCTTTTGTAGTTTTGGTACGTTTGTAGTGTGAGTGCAAAACGCGCCAAAGCCTGAAACTGAAAGCGAGACGTGACTTTTAAGGCACTGTTTCATATGGATTTATTAATCATTCTTACTGTTTAGTGAACGCAAACTGCCGTGGTTTATTAAAGACGCAAACTCCTCACTGCACGACAGCTGCGCGCCTTCAGCAGACCTCCTCATTCCTGCAGCACGAGAGCTTTATGATTATGAGCACCAAAAGTGGCGGATCTGTTCTGCAAAATATCTGACTGCGTGTCACCGCATCCCTAAGGACTGTTTGGCGAAATATTTGACTGCATGTCACTGCATATCAAACAATTGAAACGATATAACTAGAGAAATCTCCACTGTGCTGCTGAGTGAGAGAGTGCTTCTCACTGAACAGCGCAGCAGCGATGACGTAAGCGTGCCAAGGCCCGATTGTGGTGTGAGTGAGGGGAAACAAGCGTGCTTTGGCCCGGTTCGAGGCAACTGTACCTATTGTAAGTACACCCTAAGTTAAAGCAATTTAAAGCGTTTGAGGAAACCAATTGCTACAAACCATTTGAGTTAAATAAATAATCTATATGAGTACTATGAACTTACTACATTTAAGTTGAAGTAATGAGGTATTTAACCAACTCATTACCCTTAACACTGAGTTCAAAACTCTTTTTAAATGAGTAGAATTAACTTTCAGGGCCTACTCACACTATGCGTGCCCAGGCCCGTTTCCCGGATCGTTTGAGAAGTGTGAGTGCTCTGAATCGGGCTCAGGCACGGTTCACTTGGCCGGCCCTGGCCCGGTTGAAAGAGGTGAGCACGGTTCACTTGGGCTTTGTCGCAGTTCGCTTGCGTGTGAGTGCAAAACGTGCCTGAGCCCGAATCTGTAAGCGAGATGTGACTTTTGAGGGACCGTTTCTTATGGATTAATGAATCATTCTTACAGTACAGTGAACGCAAACTGTCACAGTTTATTAAAGACATAAACCCCTCACTGCATGACAGCTGCGCACCTTCAGCAAACCTCCTAATTCCTGTTCATGAGCATCAAAAGTGGCTGATCTGTTCGGCGAAATATTTGTGTCACTGCATATCAAACAACCTATATAAAGTTTAACAATATAACTAGAGAAGTCTCCACTGTGCTGAGCGAAAGCGTTTACTGAACAGCACAGCATCGATGACGTAAGCGTGCCCAGGCCCAAATATAATGTGCGTGCGGGCCGTCGGGGGAGGGGGGACAAGCGTGCTTTGGCCCGGTTCAAGGCAACAGTAAATAGTGTGAGTACGCCCTCAGTCAATTTTGAGTTAACTACACTCATTTCATTTGATAAAGTTGACTGATGGGTTTTACAGTGTGGACACCCTGAGCCGACGTTATTGAAAACTTTTTCAGGTTTTTTTTTTTTTCCCACATTGTCATTATGAGGGAATTGTGTGTAGAATTTTGAGGAAATAAATTAATTTAATTCATTTTGAAATAAGGCTGTATCATAGACAAATGTGGAAAAAGAAAAGCCCTATGGATACTTTCCAGATGCACTGTACATGTATCATCATAGGACAGATTTGCTCTTGCTCAAGACTGTAGTAAATATGCTCAGTTTGTGGAGGTTATTTATCAATAGTCAATTATTTAGTAATTATTACACAAACTGATCGTGATATGACCTCAATGTATCATCAGAAGCTAAGGGTAACCATTGACTTTTATTTTATAAAACACCAAGGGTCAGGACTTCAGCTAAAAATCTTTATCCATAAAGCTTTTTCTGAATAAAAAAAAAAAATCAATCATCTAAATGCATGCCCTAAGGGGGTAAATCAAATACTAATTTTCTTTTTTTCTGATGAACCATCCCTTTAAGTATCAGTAAATGTAATTATAATCTGGGAAATATGAAAACAAGTTCAGACTTAGCAACAGAGACGGTTAATAAATGACCAGGGATCAGACGTTCCTGGAAAAATAATTGAGGAAACGCCTTGTGCTGGCTTCATTACGTTCTTCTAAATGCGTGACTGAACTCGCTTTTATACTGCATATTCTTTTTGAATGGAGCGACTCTCTTAAATTTCATTTCAGATGATGAGAAGACTATCATCTACTACTTACTGGTCCTCTGCTTTGCTTCTATCATGAATATTATTTTCTCATTAACCTTGTTTAGACCCCTGCGGCCGCACATGCAGCTCCTCGTCCCTCAGTTCTGCAAACGGTGTCGTGAGCCAGAAGTTTCTGCGGCTCCTTCAGGAACACCAGGAGGACAGTGATATTGTCGCTGGATCCGGCAGTTTTGGCCTGGGCCACTAGACTCTGGGCCACATCGTTTCCAGAACCTCCGCTCTCCCGCAGAGCCTCCAGTACCAGAGCTGGGACATCTGCAGGCCGGATCACGTCGAAGAAGCCGTCACAGGCCAGGAGGACGTAATCTTCATCCCCGGTCAGATGGAAAGAGGAGCTGTCAGCTTCATTAGAGACGTACGGCTTCTGGTCAAAGTCACCTATTGGGAATGAAAACAATACACAGGTGAAGTCAGAATTATTAGCCCACCCTGTGTAGGTTTTCATCAAGTTCTGTTTAACTTTAGACGATTGTCAACATATTTTTAAGCATAATAGTTTTGATAACTCATTTCTAAAAACTGATTTCTTTTATCTATGCCATGATGACAGTACATAATATTTGACTAGATATTTTGCAAGACACTAATACTCCGCCTAAAAGTGCGATTTACACTGTAAAACCCAACAAGTAGAGGTAACTCAAACCATTTGAGGAAACCGATTGCAACAAACCATTTAAGTTCAAAAAGTAATCCTAATTAGTACCGTGAACTTAATTTATTTGAGTAAATAAAGCAATTTGAGCACAGTAAAGCCCAATAAATAAAGAGAACTCAAACCAACTGAGTACTGTAGAACCCAATAAGTTAAGGCAACTCAAACCGTTTGAGGAAACCGATTGCTACAAAGCATTTCAGTTGAAGTAATGAGGTATTTAAATAATTCATGACCTTCACTCTAAAAATGACTTTTGCTGCTTATTCTAACTACTTATTTAAAGTGAGCTAAAACAAAACAAATCTTAAGATTGTTTTGGGAAGCCTATTTGTTATGTTAAATCTATTTAAATTAGTTACGTCAACTTCATAGATTTGTGTTGGGCCAACATGAATAATTTGTATGCAACCCTGCATTTTTTACAGACTTTAAAACTCTTTTCAAATGAGTAGAATTCACTTTCAGTAAATTTTGAGATAACAACACTCATTTCATTTGATAAAGTTGACTGTTGGGTTTTACAGTGTAGGTTAACTAGATAAGTCATCATTTGTCTGAACCGACATCTGTGGTTTTTACTAGTTACCATGTTACCATACAATTTAATTATGCATAATTAAGACTCAAAATTAAGTTCAAAGTTTAATCAAAGTTTAAGTAAACTTTACTAGCATCATTCCTCAGAGTACAGTTTCAGGATAACATAACTTAATTGAAATGTATTTGTGACTCAATTTGAGCAATAATTACTTTTACTACATTAGTAAATAGTACTTAATGCAATAAAGCTATGAATACTTAATTTAATTAAGGCAACGAGTTTGCATAATTTCATCAAGTAAAACGAACACACTTTTTACAGTCAATTGAAAAAAAAATCGTTTCTAATAATCGTGATTTTTAAAATCATTAAAAAATGTAAACTTATTTTAAATTCCAGCCAAACAAAAAGAAATGAGTCTTTCTCCAGAAGAATTTTTTTTTTATATTAAATGCATTACACTAAAAATATTAAAAATATTGCCTTGCTCTGTTAAACATTATTTGGGAAATATTTAGAAAAAGAATTAAAATTTAACTGGAGGGCTAATATTATTTTGCCTTTAACTGTATGTAGTACACTGCTGCCTTTTACAGTCGTTTATCTGGGTAACCATTGACAGAGAGGTTAGATGGCTTTCCTGAGGTAAATATGACTTTGTTCACAAGTTATTTATATATATATATATATATATATATATATATATATATATATATATATATATATATATATATATCTTTCCTTGGTTAAAACACAGAGATTCAGGATCCATTTCAGTGAGTCGTTCTTTAGATCTTTAAATATACCATCATGTCTAATGTTCATTCTTTCATTCATTAATTGCCATAATTAGTATAGTAGAAAGTTTATGTTTGCTGGAACTCATAAAGTGATTTGCCATGCTGTATTAAAAAATGGAAAATTACAATACTTACAATAATCACAGGGGAAAAACTACAATAAGCGTTCAAATGTTATGGATCAGTAGGTGCTTTGTCAGCAAGAATGCAGAAACCAATCAAAATTAACAGTGTATATACAGTTGAGGTTAGAATTATAAGCCCCCTGAATTATTAATCCCCGTTTATTTTTTCCCCCCAAGTTTTGTTTAACGGACAGAAGATTTTGTTTTTAACACATTTCTTAACAAAATAGTTTTAATAACTCATTTCTAATCATTGATTTATTTAATCTTGCCATGATGACAGTAAATTATATTTGACTAGATATTTTTCAAGACACTTCTATACATCTTAAAGTGACATTTAAAGACTTAAAGGTTAATCTGGTTAACTGGGCAGGTTAGGGTAATTAGGCAAGTTATTGTACAATGATGGCTTGTTCTGAAGACTATCGAAACAAAATCTAGCTTAAAGGGGCTAAAAATTTTCCTTTAACATATTTGTATATGTATATATAGCTGTTAATATCTAAAGAAAACACGAAAAAACTGTATGACATTTCCCACAAAGATATTAGACAGCACAACCAATTCGGATATTAAAAAATAAATATTTCTTGAGAATCAAATCAACATTTTAGTAGACTTTCTGAAGAATTACAAGATGGCAAAATAAAGGAATTCATGCAAAAAAAAATTTGTTTTGCAAACACAGAAATAAATAAAAAATCTTTAATTAATAAAAAATGTCTTTGAACATATTTATTGTAATATTATTTATATTATACTCTAAAATGATGTTTTCAAGGGATGCTTAATGTTGTTGTTTTATGATTGTGCTACACTCACCTATTGCTCTGGAAACGGCGTAGGTACCATTTACCCGCCAACAACCCATGAAAGCGATGCATCCACCCAGATCCTCAATCCTTTTCTTCTCATCCTGCACAAAAACAGGCAAAATGCTGAAGCTTTTTGCATAATTAAACAGCAAACCTATATATTTATCTAGTTATTAACCTGTATATCAGTTTTGCAAGTCTTGTATCGTCAATCCACAGGTGGGTTACACCAACAAGGATTACATTTTAACCCTAGATTAAATTTAACCCATCAGCTTGATCCCCAATTTCATTTCACAATTAACTTCAATTAACTACAATCATGTTTTACCATTAATTTAAATTCAGATTACAATTTTCAGATTCATTTTAAACATTCTCAAAGTCTTGACAAAGAAGTAATTAATGAAATGTGTCCCTTTTCTCCTGTGCTGCATGTTTTTTTTTTGTTTTTTGTTTTTTTTTTTGCTTTAGCTTTGAGGTTTCTTCAGCAGGCTTTCACAACTTAGTTCCCACAGACACACTAAAGATATCCAAGATAACTACTACTTATTTAAATATCATGTTATTTTTCCATTTTGTCCTTGATTACTGTTCCATTTTTTTCATGACTTGTAAAGTTCAAGGACACAAACCTTTAATCCAAAAATACACTTAACTGAACATGTATTATTATTACATGTAAATATTATTTATTTTGAAAGGACACTATATACTGTTTAACTGCAGGTTAACAACAGTTAAAGTCAGAATTATTAGCCTCCCTGTTTATATTTTTCCCTAATTTCTGTTTAACGGAGAGAAGATTTTTTTTCAACACATTTCTAAACATAATAGCTTTATTAACTCATTTCTAATAACTGATTTATTTTATCTTTGCCATGATGACAGTAAATTATATTTGACTAGATATTTTTCAAGACACTTCTATACAGCTTAAAGTGACATTTAAAGGCTTAACTAGGTTAATTAGGGTAATTAGGCAAGTTATTGTATAACGATGGTTGTTCTGTAGACTATCAAAAAAATCTAGCTTAAAAGGGGCTAATAATACTGATCTTAAAATGGCGTTTAAAAAATTTAAACTGCTTTTATTCTAGCTTAAATAAAACAAATAAGACTTTTTCCAGAAAAAAGAAATATTATCAGACATACTGTGGAAATTTCCTTACTCTTGTTACACATAATTTGGGAAATATTAAAAAAATAATAATAATTCAAAAGGGGCTAAAAATATTGATCTTAAAATGGTGTTTAAAAATTTTTAAACTATTTATTTTAAATAAAAAAATTAAAACTGCTTTTATTCTAGCTGAAATAAAACAAATAAGACTTTCTCCATAAGAAAAAAAATTTTTAAAAAAGAAAATAAAAAATCAAAGGGAGAATAATAATTCTGACTTCAACTGTATGTTTATATTCAGCCCACCCTATTGACCTTATTCTCCGCAGACGAGCGGGCGCTGCCATTTGAATCTTTTTGGCACGAGACTTCCGGTCTCATTCACTTCCACTCATTTTTAGACATTAAAAACTGCTTGTTTCGCTGTTTGATGTTGCAAACTGATATTTCCTTGTTGTATTATTCTACTTGGTCTGTATAGTCATGCAAACATTTGTTTGTAGAGCAAGTAGTTTGACCATTTTTTGCCGTTTATTATTCCTTGTCATTTCTCCCATAGGCGACTGAAACGGAAGTTCTAAGACAATCGCGAAAACAGGCACACTTCCGCATTTTAGAAAAAGGTCAATACACAACTCATTACCCTTTCTGATTTTGACTTTAATGTAATGATGTGCATTTTCTATGAAGCTGCCTTTGCAAAGATAATAAGAAAAAAGTAAACTCGAATTAAACTGAATTAAATGTGTGAGCTCCTAATATGCAGTGTCATTTTCTCAGCATGTATGCGTAACATATCTGATAGCAGTTGTTTATTCATTTAATTGATTTATTTATTATTTTAATTTAGATAAAAATGATACTAAGAAGTGTTGATACCTAGTTACCTAGCTGAGGACTATTCTCAGGGACTCATTGTGTCTGCTGCAGCCATGAGTAATATGCTGGTGTTTAACTGCATTGCTTTAGTGCATTCCTGCATTGGGCTGCTCTCACATACTCTCTGCTACTTGAAAGACATGGCAGGTATGTCTCTCTGTCTCGCGCTAATCCAAGTCGACCAATCCCAACAGAATGGGCCATCGGACCAATCAGTGCAGATTAGCATCATGCTAAGAAGGGGTTTGCGAACAAATGAATCGCTGAATGAATCATATGAGAGTCGTTGAGATAATTAGGTAAAAATAAATGCATATTATAAGACAATGAAAGTGTGTTTTGACCTTGCATGCAAATCAGCCTGTTGTTGGAGACCCCAAAAACCAAAATATGACCTTTTTTAATCCTTGATGTTGGTTTAACACAACACAATTACTGATGTACTTATTTTGAATGCACATCCTGATCTGAAGTCAGTCAGAGGCTCTCTAAGGATCTTTCTGATGTCATTGAATCGCTGTATATATACTCAGCATACACGGCTAATATTGATTCAGCATGTGGTCAGCAGCAGTCGGTTCTTCTGGCTCACATTTCAGCTGCTCTCAGAAAACGGACGAGCATCTGATACAGCCTGTGCTTCAGTCTCTGTTGGTCAGCAGTGGCTTGTAGGGTCTCGTACCTCTCGCTCTGGTTTGTGGGGGTCCATTAGGGTCACTGGTTCCCCCTGGCGGACCAGCAGAGCTTGGGAATCGCCCAGCCAGGACACGGTAAGGAGGTCAGAGGTCAGTAAAACAGCCACTCCAGTGCTGCCGCTGCGCAGACGCTGAGCGAGACAAACACAGTATTTTATTTGTACATTTTCTACAATGAAAGTTGATGGTTACAGGTTTGCAGCATTCTTAAAAATATCTTCTTGTTTAAACATTGGCTTCCATAAAGAGAAAACATATACTAAGTTGAGTTTCAAGTTAGTCCATGGTTACAGGTTTCCAGCATATTTCTAAATATCTTCTTTTGTAACCATTGACTACACAAAAGGAAAACAAATACTACGGAAGTAGATAAGAACAGGTTTCCAACATGCTTCTAAATATCTTCTTTTATAGCCACTGACGTCCATAGAGGGAAAACAAATACTACGCAAGTCGATGGTTACAGGTTTCCAACATTCTTCTAAATATCTTCTTTTGCAATCATTGACTTCACAGATGGAAAACAAATCCTATGGAAGTCTATGGTTACAGTTTTGCAGCATTCTTCTAAATATCTTTTTTTGTAACCATTGACTTCCATAAAGGGAAAACAAGTACTATGCAAGTTGATGGTTACAGGTTTCCAGCATTCTTCTAAATATCTTCTGTTGTAAAAATTGACTTCCATAGAGAAAAACAAATTCTATGGAAGTCAAAGGTTACGGGTTTGCAGCATTCTTCTAAATATCTTCTTTTGTGTTTAACAGAAGACAGAAAGTCATAAAGGTTTGAAATGAGTAAAGGCTGTGGGCTATGTTGCGTCAATAATTAATGACAGAATTTAGATTTTATTTGGGTGAACTATCCCTTTAAATGCAAATGATTTAGTATAATCAGATAGTAATTTCAAGAAAAAGTAAGTTATATTGTTTAAATGTATTTTATATTTAAATTTTATTCAGTCCATCCAAGATTTTTAAATATTTGCTTTTGTCAAAACTGAATTCTCGTGTTTTACTGTGAAAATTCACAAACCTTGTAAATTTTTTCTTTTTTTTTACCTCAAGAAACATTGGAGTTGCAATATCATGGTGGTACTGACTATGAAGATATTATTGTTAAAAATAATACCGCACTAATAAACTCACCTTCTATCCATGTTTTAAAAAGGGCTTAATTTAACTATTTTATGCAACATGAATGATGCTAAATAACAAAATAAATCAATCTAACAAATAAACAAATTAATCTAACAGAACACACAAATCATGTGACAAACTCTTTTCAAAAGAAATGCTTGATAATCATATCAATATTTTTTAATGCAAATATGTAATCGTGAATTTTTTGTTATTTGTTATTTTAAAATATTTATAATTTCTGAGATTTAGAGTGTTGGCGGACAGCCAGCCATACTCAGCAGAGCAAAGACAGTTGATGTTCCGCCAGAAGATGGCGACAGAGACTGCATAACAAGTCCTTTAAAGAAGAAAAACTGCACTTTTTCAGTGCATGTTTCAAACTACAGCTGAACAAATCATAATAAATCAGGTGACATACAAAGTCGATTTCTCTCTTTTGTATGTTGCAGTGCTGTAATTATGCAATAGTAATCTGCTAGTGTTTGATTAGCTTTGTCTTTTTGGCATTAATTATTGTGATTGCAACAGAGAATTACTGGGAAATCTCTCTAGACTGATGGCGTTTCATGCCGTTCAGCCTTATAATCTTAAAATGTGAGCAAAATCACCTGTTTTAAGTTTAACAACTTTATTAATCCCTTCAGGGGCAATTAAATTAGGGCATAGAAGAAAGTAGTTCCTCTTACAAAAGGGTTTTTGAGACTCTCCATGTTTGATTTTCTTTTTTATATACACGATTATGCCATCGAACTGTTGTATAAACGCAATATTACCCGAGTAGCAGTGCGATATGGCTGTATATCGTTACAGGTGAGACACTAAGGTTCTTGGCCTGTGGTCTTGAATTAGCGCACGCTTCCCACCAGTGCTGATATACAGCCATATCGCACTGCTATGAGTGTGATATTGCTTATATATATTTAAAAATCTTTTATTTTCACCATATAAAGACACTGCTAAACAAACTGCATTAGTAATAACTTGGCTTTCCAAAATAAACACAATTCTTTAATAGTTCAATCAGTTAATAACTGATCCAGATAAACTGTGCATGTAAACAACTGTCAGTATAATGAAATGTTTTCTCTTGCACTGATCGTGTCAATGAAACAGAAAAAGTGCTTACTAATATCTGCACCTGTGTAGGACGACTGGCATGCACAGTTTACTTACCATGTATTTAACCACATGGGGAAAGTAGACCGTATTTGTCAGTGTTTATTACAGTGTAGGAACATGAGAAACACTCAACGGCTGCATCTTCAGAAGTAGAAGAGGCGTGAAAACCTGTTTCCATTGTGAATTTCCACAGAACGCACCAGCTTGACAAATAAGGGGAAAGATGACCTGCCGAAACTGATTGTGTGCTTTCAGAAGAAAATGCACTGACACAAAGAAAAACATATTTAAAGGAAAACAAATATATAGTTTGAAGAAAGCGTCATAACCATCAGCGTACTATATTTAATCTGTTGTTTTTTTGTTGAATTGTTTTTGTAAGTTTTTGATATGAATTATGGAACATTTGATTGGGTTTAATATATTGGCTTGGCGTGATGGTGGATCAACACATTCATTCATTTTCCTTCGGTTTATCACTTGGAAGATGCGATGGCAGCCACAGGACAACGGGGCCAGTGCGCTCACCACACACCAGCTATTGATGGAGTGGAGAGACAGCGATAGAGCCAATTTGGTGGATGGAGAAGATTGGGAGGCCATGATGGGTAAGAGCTGATGGAGGGAATCTGGCCAGGACACCTGGGTTACACTCCTACTCTTAACGAAGAGTGCCATGGGATTTTTAATAACCACAAAAAGTCAGGACCTCTGTTTAACGTCTCATCCGAAAGACGCTAGTAGTTTAAGATCACATTAAAAACCTGTAATTTTTTTACATTTAAAGGGCCATGAAACCCCCTCGTTTCAGCAGTGTGTTTTCACACCTCTACTTTGAAAAAAGTCAGAAAAGTGGGCGTGTCCAGCTCTGTGTAGGGGGGAGTGTCGGAGGAAGAAAAGAGGCTTGGTGTGGGAGTGTCTATTTGGGCGCGCTGAATTTCAGAGTCAAAACACACAACCACAGCGGACAATGTGACTGTGTTTACATGGAGATCTGTAGTCAAATTATTTGCCAAATTATTAAATGGTGGACTTTAACTGCAGTTTGGCTCTTTCATTCAGGGAATTCATTCATGTCCCTCACGACAAACGTGATATTTGATTCGAGGAACTGCTCTAAGCGTGTATTTTTCATGCAATGTTTGATACCGCACGGCGAATGAGAGAAAACAAAACTCAGCATTTCCCGGAAACTTAGATGCACACGGCAGGTAGCGTCAGAAATCCGCGTGTGTTATTCCGGTCACAAAATCCAACACGAGGTTATAGTTTGGTTGTAACTGTTAGTGCTAACTTGTTTACACTCGGTGCAATAGTTTGTTTGATACGAATAAAATACGAACTGAATAAACAAAGAGCACTTGTCGCTCACTTACTAAATCTGTAGAGACAGGGCAATCCGCAGCAACTAGAGCCGCGTCTTTATTTAGAGGAGACTACAAGCGAATCCGGATCTCAGCGTTTGCAGATGAGAACAGCTCTCAGGTAAACAATAATCCTCCTTAGACACGCAAGTTATTGTTGTCGCGCGTCGCGTACACTGTTAATCCACGCATGACTCCAGCTGCGCTCTCACAGAGAGAAAATGAAAACAAAACTTAACGGTAGCAAACTTTAAAAGCAACACTTCACACTTGTTTTGCCAATACAACATGGCGTCTCTGCCGTCTACACTCTGACAGTAATGAATATTAATGAAGTTGCACAATAGAGCGCGCTGATTGGTTTGAACCAAGCCTTACTCATGCATTAATGCAACACACTGTAAGACGTAATAAGACTCACTCTGGCACAGACGCCCAGTCTGCACGCTGGAATACACGCTATTATGTCATGGCCGTGACGCAGCTTCAAAAATTCGTTTCAAACCGGAAGTACAAATTTGCTTGAAAAAACGCAAAAACAACCAATTTACACTTTTTAGTGAAATATAGGTGTCTTAATAGTGTTTTTAGCAGTGTGGGACACATATACGACTGACAACAGCTCAAAAAATGTGTTTTGGTGTTTCGTGACCCTTTAATATCACTAATTTTTTATTTATATATTTTTTTAAAAGATGTCTAGATCAGTGGTTCTCAAACTTTTTTGACCAAGTACCACCTCAGAAAAAATTAGTCTTTTCAAGTACCACCATTTTAACCAGTATTAAAATACAGTAGCGTAGCATGCCTAATTAAGCAGCTACAGCCAGGGCCGGAGTGGGACTCCTTTTTAGCTCTGGAAATTCAAGCCTTAGACCGGCCCACCTCAGTCGACGACTGACTATATTAAAATAACGTCATTTCCAATTCAGTTTCTAATGACACTAACACATCTTTTTCAAGGACACAGCAGCTTTAGAACTTCAAATGTTTTTCATAAATATGAGAACATTAATTCTTTATAGATATCCAGTCCTTTGTAACAGTCGTCACACACACACAAATAAATATGTATCCCTACATAAGTAACCCAAACAGTATTTTATGTCTTAACATTGAAAATAAAAACATATTATAATCTGGTGAGGTTCGAACTCGGGTCGGCTGTATCAAAGCGTAACGTGCTAACCACTAGACCACAATGGCACTGTTAGGCATGGCATTGTTATTTGCTGTTATTGATGCCTACTCTTTTTTTTTTAACCCTACTCTTTTTCTCTCCATTTTACTAAGGTGCCGCTGTTTGGGGTGGAATGGGGTGCAGCCCACAGGTTAATGATGATCATCATTAACCTGCGGGCTGCATTTTGCTCACGGGGCTGCGAGAAAATAAATAAAAAGAGCCGAGCTGCGGCAAAATAATGATTAAAAAGAGTGAGGTTATGGTCAAATAAACAAATAAATTTAAAAAGTGCAACTGCTGAGAGTGCAAGCAGCTAGGGACACCGGCCCTCGCGGCAAAAAAACGGACCGGCCCACCGGGAATTCTCCCGGTTCTCTCGATTAGCCAATCCGGGCCTGGCTAAGCTCTGCACAGGTTAAAAACGTATTATTTAAACATTATAAATAGTTTAAACATTAACACTGTAATGTGTTTACAGGTAAAAAAAATATGTTTGAAATAAAATGTGCTTTTAAAAAGTAAAAAATGGGACTGTTCTAAAAAAGTAAAAAGAAAACAGCTGTACTCAAATGTAAAGTTTTGACATATAGTAGCCTATTCAGCCTATTAAGGAAATGTTCCTTTGAACTCATAAATATAGGCTATATGTCATCATATTCATATATATGTACTCTTTTTGACAAATTTTGAAATATATGTTGCATGGTTTTGTATATCTTTGAAATCTAAACATTAACTTGTATTATAAATATATGATTTGGATTTACATACTTAAATTAGAAATTAGGGAGGGATTTTAATGTTGTAACAAACGAATAGATTACTTTCTCACGCTTATCCAAATGCATCACATGACTGTTTATGACCCCTTCTAAAATGATAGAAATTCAATCCCGTCGGGTTCGGGCAAAGATCTTCAGCTCTAACACATACATGACTGTCAACATCTGAAAAAAAGCTTTTTGGTGTTTCTTGACTCTTTAAATATAACTAATTGCTTATAGTGTGTTGTTCAATAGTCGTTGCTATTTTCTTGCATACACAAAAACGTATTTTAGGTCACTAATCAAATTTGTACCATATATTAAGACGCTCTGGAAACTATATACTATAAATAATATTTGTATCCATTAAAAGGAAAGTTCACCCAAAAATTCTAATTTACTCACTATTTACTCTCCCTTAAGTGTTTCCAAACTTTAAAGAGTTTCTTTCTTCTGTTGAACACATTAGAATATATTTTGAAGAAAGCGGAAAATCTGTAACCATTGACTTCTATAGTATTTGTCTTTCCTACTATGGAAGTCAATGGTTACCGGTTTACAGGTTTCTTCAAAAAATCTTCTTTTGTGTTCAACAGAAGACACTCATAAAGGTTGGAAACAAGTAAATGATGACAGAAGTGAATTACCCCTTTAACCTATTAACCTACATAGGTATGAGACAAATTGGTCTAGTGCCAGTCTGTGGTCTTGTATTGCTGCCTGTCTGTTAACAACTACAGTTATCAACTACTGTGACTCTCAAACACTACAGATTTATCTGAGGCCTGGCAGAGTTTGGTTGAAGCAGATACTGTTTGCCTGTGTTTTCATGAGTGTCTGTTGCTCTTACCTCTCTCTTGGCTTTGATCTTGAACATGTCATCTGTTTGTGTGAAGGTGTTTTTAAAGGCTGTGGCAGCGTCTGTTTTTAGCTCCCCCTGCTGGCTCAGTACTATATGCAGATGAGTGGCACTGTAAGTGGCAGCGTCTACTCCTCCATGCCCATCAAACACAGCATAATACTCTCTACCCACACCATCCTGGAGAGAGAAAAAAAAAGTGATTATGTAATGTAATGTAAATATAATTTATATTTATAGATGCATTTATTGTATCAGTTTTTCTTAAACTTCGATAACGGGATAGTTCACCTACAAAAGTACATTTACTCACTATTTACTCATCCTAAAGTGGTTCCAAACAACACGAGAAAGGATATGGTGAAAAAGCTGAAAACCTGTAATCATTGATTGCCATAGAATTTGTTATTCCTACTATGGAAGTCAATGGTTACAGGTTTTCAACATTTTTCAAAATATCTTCTTTTGTGTTTAACAGAAGAAAGAAACTCATAAAGGTTTGAAACATGTAAAAGGTGAGTAAACGATGACAGAATTTTCATTTTTCGATTTTCTTTATCTAAAAACTTTTATTTTGGAATGCGATGATTAATTGTGATTAATGGTTGCCCAGCATTAGACTTGAAGGTCAGCCTTACCTGCAGTCCCAGAAGCTGGTTAAACTCTTTTAAGATGACGTGGCGATCCTCCATCTTCCTGCGGGTGTTTCGAATGGCGTGAACTGAGCAGCTGTGTGTGCGCGAAGAGGGAGCATCGGGATTGGGCGGCTGTTTCTGCCAGGCCACACCCACCGCTCTCAATTTATTAATGAAGAGACGCAGCACAGGTTCAGACTGCAGCACTGAAGAAGCACACAGATGTACAACCTCATCATGATTAAGCAGAGTTTAAATATAAACTCCTAGATATCTTACATTTAGGGCGAGATTAACTCAACGAATCACAAAAAAAAAACACCAATAAGAGCTGAAAGTCAATGAAAATATAATAATGTTTGTGTATTCTACTAACAACACATGCTCAAAATGGGCCAAGACTAGCTTTTTGAGTACATTAAAACAAGTCGCTATTATAAAACATAGTGAATCACATTGCATGATTAAATTACCATACTCTCCTCACATACATTTTGCGTCTGAATGAAAACTTTAAACATTTACAATAATGTTACATGAAAAAAAAAATCATTGTTATTTATCTTTTCAGCACAAATTTTTCACAAAGTCTGGACACAAGCTGCTAGTAAATCTGGCCCATACATTTAATACTGTGAAATCAACAATACAGGTATAAACTGCTGCATTTTACACAAGCAAGTTGAGTTTCAAACAAAATATAAAACTTGTAACCTGATGTACTACTGCTCTTTGGACACAAGAGGTCAGCGATGTCACTCAGAGATTACATTGTTGATTTTCAATATTAGGATTTTCTACCTGTTAGTCACTAATGTTTGCATATTTATATCATGCAAACCAATTGAGGAAGTACAGGCAGAACCAAACAGAGAAAAAAAAAACAAAATATGTGTCCCCAAATGCTAGTGAGCTCAAAACTGATGTTTACAGAGGCTATTTATAATTTAATAAATAAAGAGCCTCTGCAGACTTCAATTTGGGACAAAATTATATTATAAAATAAATAAATAAATAATTTATCATTATTTATAATTTATAATTAATATATTGTATTTAATATTTTTAATCTATTTCTCCCTCTCTTTTTTAACATATATACAATGTTTAATTTCAAAAAAGTAACTGATCTGGAAAAGATCTGGAAAAAAGAGAATTACTTACAAACAACTCCTTGTTCATCTTCTGGTTGCTGTTCGGGGTCTTTGGGGCAGTAGTGAGGTGTAAGGTCATCTTTGAGCAGTTCAGTGACAGCAACATTGCACATCACTGCAGCCAGCCATGATGGAGCATTTCTTTAAAAAAAAAACAAAAAGTAAAACAAATAAAACATCATTAACAGCACTTGAATCATTCAAAACCTTAGGGTAAGATTCTGTAATTTTTTGACAAAAGTGTCTCATGCTCCACAATGACGCATTTATTTGATTCATTTATTTATTCATTCATTCATTTTCCTTAGTCTCTATTTTAGAGGTTGCCACAGCGGAATGAATTGGCAACTATTCCAGCATATGTTTTACACAGCACATGCCCTTCCAGCAACCTAATACTGGGAAACACCCATGCATGATTTGATTAAATCGACAATTTTTATTCCTGTGTTGATAAAGCTAAATTGTCAGCATTGGTCCCGGAAATCATTTATAGAAGTTGCTTCCTTGCTCAGAAAAACATTAATAATAATATTAATAATAGCATTCAGTTTAATATAACTTTTCGTTTTACTAAAAAGACCTCAAATCGAAACCATAAAGTGAATGGACCTTGGTGAAATAGAGCAGACTTCAGTGCCAAATCTCACATTGAAGTACATTATTTGGCAACAGGTGAGAAAAGGTGGATGAAAATCTTTTTATTTGCACACTGGTTCAAATATAAAGGAGAATAAAAAAAACATCTAACAAATTTCTTTTAAAATGAGCATTTAATTCAGCCTCCTAGAGTATATTTATGCTTAGTTTATTCACTGTAAAGGTAATGAAAAGAACATTTTCTTTTGTCTTTGTCAAGATGACAGCACATAATATTTTACTAGTTATTTAGCACGATACTAGCATTCAGCTTGGGGTGCACTCACACTATGCTATCTAAACCATGCCCAGGTATGTTTAACCCCCATTTCCAGGATCGTTTAACAAGTGTGAGTGCTCTGAATTGGGCCCAGGCATGGTTCAGTTGGCCGGCCCTGACCCGGTTTGAAGTAGTGTGCCAGAGTGCAGTTTGGTTGGGCTTTGGCGCGGTACGCTAGCAGTGTGAGTGCGAAGCGCACTTGAGTCCAAAACTGAAGACACGACGTCACTTTTAAAAGACTGTTTCATATGGATTTATAAATCATTATTACCTTTCAATGAACATGAACTGTCATAGTTTATAAAAGATACAAACCCCTCACTGCATGTTAAGCCCTTAAAAGGCTTAACTTTGATTATTAGGTTAGGTTAATTACAGAAGGGGCGCAGGGTGACGCAGTGGGTAGTGCTGTCGCCTCACAGGAAGAAGGTCGCTGGTTCAAGCTTTGGTCAGTTGGCATTTCTGTGTGGAGTTTGCATGTTCTCTCCGTGTTTGCTTGGGTTTCCTTCTGGGCCCCGGTTTCCTCCACAGTCCAAAGTCATGTGTTACAGGTGAATTGGGTAAGCTAAATTGTCCGTAGTGTATGAGTGTGAATGAGAGTGTATGAGTGTTTTTCAGAGATGGGTTGCAGCTGGAAGGGCATCCTCTGCATAAAACTTATGCTGAATAAGTTGGCGGTTCATTCCACTGTGGCGACCCCTGATTAATAAAGGGACTAACCCGAAAAGAAAATGAATGAATGAATAATAACAGAAGTGTTTGGACAACATTAAATGAGTAATGATGACACATGTTCATTTTGGGTGAACTGGCCCTTTAATTTTCCTCTAAATCCTGTTCGTGGATGCTCACACAGCCTGGAGTATCAGCACATTTTGCACTAGTGGATGTGTTCTGTTTTTAGATGAGATGTCGCACTTTGCCTGCTGGAGCAACGAGTGGCAAATGGCCCGACCGCCCACTCATAACAACACGTCTATCTGAGAGGAGCATTTGGCTGCGTGAGGATGTTCATCTGATGACATAACAGCAACATGTCGGAAAAAAAAGAAACTCCCTTTTGTGCCATGGTAAACGTCATGCGCATCTGACCTACATCCAGACGCGAAAAGGGTTAAACCTGACAAATTTACATCTGAATTCACCACAGCTTCCAACAGAGAGGAAATGAAGTCTAAATGTCAGGAAGTGGGTTTAACAATAGTGATTCCACAGACATGAAGTCTGCCCTGAAAAATGTGTCAGGGGAGGGGAAAATGATACAGAAGAGATACAACAAAAAACTCCATTGTCAATTTAAACTTTCAAACTTCAGCTTGGATTACCAATCAAAAAACACACAAACAAAAGTCTTTTAATCGAGCCGTGCGGTATGTGCACTATGTGCTGACTTCCTGAAAATGCCGTCAGGAAAACAGATGATGGTAGATAGAGTGTAAAGCAAATGGGGGAGAGAGAGGAATGAGAGGAATGAGAAAAACGCTCCTCCTTCTGCTTTGGTTAAAGAGGACAGGTGTGTGTGTCGCAACATTTTTACTGTAAATAACATGCTGTTCTAAACAGAAACGCATTATAGTATAAAACAGCAAAAACCCAATAAAGCTAGGTGTTACACAATTAACACACACACACACACACACACATTTACCATTACACTTAAAAATTCTGGTAAAAAGTGGTAAGCTGAGAACATGCAAGCACTTGCAAAAGCATTCCCAGCTACGAGATTGTAAAACATTGAGGAGAATCATCCATTCTGCTGTGAAACATGCATGCATAGTTGTCAAACTGAGAAACAAGGGTTACCGGGGTCCAAGGACAAATATATATAAATACACAAATGCTAAAAACATAAAAGAATGCAGTTAAGATTAGATTAGATTAGATTCAACTTTATTGTCATTATACATGTACAAGTACAATGCAACGAAATGCAGTTTAGGTCTAGCCAGCAGTGCAATAGCAGCAAGTGCAGGATACAGGAATAAGTTATAAAGTGCACTTATAGAAAAACTATGGTGATATTTACAGATGGATGTACTATAAACATTATATACAGGTTGGATAAGCTATGAGCAGATTTACAATATATGAATATATGTGCAGGTTGCTATTAATAATCAGTAGTGTGCAGATAGATAAACATGATTGCAAGTGTATATGTTACAATATATGAATATATGTACAGGGATAGATAAACATGATTACAAGTGTATATGTAACAATATATGAATATATGTACAGGTTGCTATTAATAATCAGTACTAGATTACAAGTGTATATTTATAGTGGGTGTCTACATAATTACAAATGTCCATATGCAGTGGTTATGTACAGTAAAAGTTAAAGTTTTTAGAATAAGTGTATATGCAGATATGTATTTACTTTTACTTTAATTATATAGCGCAATATAACAACAGTTGGTAAAGGTGCAGTGTGTAAGTTTGAAACCCAGTGGTTAAACTAGGTACAGCACTCCTGGATCAGAACCGTTTTCTATCTAAAAGCAACAGCACACGATAGAAGGAATATTTTCCCTATTAAATGGAGAGTTACATGCCTGGGGGTGCTGCTCTGTTGTTCCCTCTTCCCCTTTCGGTTTTTATTTGCTATCTGCTGTTCTTCTAAAATCTGGGTGTTTAAATGCACACAGAGTTTTCACAAGTGGACCAATCAGAAGAGGATGGGGTCATTTAAGCGCTCCAGAGACGACTTAGGCCCCGTTTACACTAATGCGTTTTAGTTTTAAAACGGCGTTTTAGAATGAAAACGGTCCGCGTCCACACTTGCGTGACCACATCACGTGACCACACACACACACTCTTTGGCAAGCGCTGCAGCCCATCTACCCACTTGAGAGCTCTGCTAGTCGGACTTCTCAACAAGGATCTCCCGCTGGATCTAATCTCACTATATTTATTAAACGGGATATTTCATTCATCTTGTTGTCTTTATCTAACGACATATTCCCTGACTTTGGTCATTGGAATCTATTACTTGTTCTCAGGTAACGTGTTTTGGCTGAGAGCAAAGATAAGTTAATGATTAATGTAAGCACGTACATTCTGTATATTGACTGATCGCTAGCCTTTATTTTCTATAAACTTATTGTATGTTATACTTTTATAATGGCCATTATTGATTATTAAAACTGATACTCAGCAAAAGAGAGGGTGTGTTTCGAATTTTACTGAAATTGAAAGAGGCAGTTGTTATCGGCTCCGTCTTGTTATAAATATCCACACAGTGAAGATGACGCTCATAAATGCAGCACGGCGCCTCAACATTTCTACTGTCTGTTTAATTGTTAATATTAAAATGAAAATAGGCAGTTCCTTATTTCATGTTTACATTTTATTGTTGAGAAAGTGAAACAACGAAGCCAGGGTGATGTGAATGAAGTTATGAAGTACACTGTTCCCTTTGAAGATTTACCCGTGTCCTCGGTATAGTCTGTTTTCCATATCAAACTGAGAAGAAGAGACTGCAGCCTTGATCAAACTTGCGAAGTCCGAACTTACACGGAGAAGATGCAGGACTGAACTGTTTGTAGGCTACTTAATATTGAGGAAAAGCCCCAATCAGAGAGGCGAATGTCGGCAGCCCCGCCTCCGTTTTCAGATGTCTCCGTTTTCCATCATCCACACAAAAGCCTGATTTATACTTCTGCGTCAGGTGACCGGCGTAACCCACGGCGCAGGCAACGCGTGTGGCTGTGCATTTATACTTCTGCGCGCTGTCTCTGTCGGTCTGCATTAACACTTCCGAAACGCTAGTTGGCAGTGAGGTGTAAATGTTCCTCTGTGTCGAGTTTCTTCTCTGCTTTTTTGCTTTTCCTGAACACTTCCGGGATGTACAAGTGGCTCAAACTCGCTCATTTTGAGGCAGGAACTGGCGGACGTGCAACAACTTTAACTATGAGGTAAACACAAAACAAAACTTTCCATCCGTAGCTCCTTCACGGGACTCCACACTTGTAAACAATCGTTCGCGCCATTCGCGCGGCTCTTGGTCACGCCCAGACTCATCAGCGCTACCAAGCCGACCAATCACAGAGTTTACGCTACGCGTCGTTGCGACGTGTAGTTACATTTTTTGAGAGGTGCACGTCAGTGACGGCGATGGCCACAGCGAAGGGCTATGCGTCAGCGCCCTAGCATACGCCGATGTTTGACGCAGAAGTATAAATCAGCCTTAAGACGGAGCAGCAGCGTTTCAGAATGAAAACGGCCTCTCCAGCGTTTTCGAAACGCTCCGTTTTCGGCACTCGAGAACTCCGGCATAGTGTGGACGGATGGCGTAACCGTAGCAAAACTTATGGGGGGGGAGGTTGTAATCCTTGTCACTTATCTGCCTCTTATCACTGCTCTGTCTTTCTGTGTGACATTTGTGCCTGTCTTGTTCTCCGATTCACTTTAAGTGAATACTCTTGAATTTTCTTTTTTTCTTTATCTTTATTGTAAATAAAGCGAATCCCCTTTTTTGCCATGTCCATTGTCGGTGTCGATCCATAGCAGTTGACTTCTCAGGGGAATTTTTTAAATATTGGGTTGTCATAATTATGTTTAGCCCTTCTAATCCTCCGAGCCCCACAGGGCGTAACAAGGAGTTTTTTTCCTAACCAACACCGGGAATTTATATATTAGAATTGGCTTCTATTTCTTGCAGCTGAACAACAGGACAAACTGACAATGATCACCTCAGGTACACCTTATGTGCTTTATTCAGAGTTTGAATGCTGTTTTACATGAACTCTGAATCTGCGTCTCATTTCAGAGTCTGCTACTGTCCACCAAAGGTCGCATTTTGTTCGCAGACGCATGCTTTGAGAGCCTTCTTGGCTAAATGAATGAAACATGCTGTTTTTTAGCAAAGCAAGGGGGTGCTGAAATATAATTGGCTAAATTGACATTGGGAGGGTTAAAAAAAACAAAACTAAGACAGTCGGCACATAACTCACAATTTCAAAGCAGAATATCTGACTTCAGCATTGTTTTTTAGATGAACAAGAATGTTCATTAGCATGTTTCTTAAATATCTGCAAACAAATTATGGTGATTTTATGCTTTAGAAAAGTCACAAACTGACATACAGCACCTTTAACCATTGTGCACAGATTAGAGGATCTTGTGAACTATATAAATAAATATCCTCTGATCCTGACGCATTGGGTTAAATTAGGCCTTGCAGTCTCCGTGTTCAGTCCATTACTTCCACTGTATCTGTTTAGCTGAGGGAACGGAACCAACCACGTGCCGTCAGACACAGCAATATTCCAAGATGGAGGCTCCCTAACTCTAAAAACTATAGTAAAACATGCCCTTTTCTGCAAAACGGTTTCATTATTCAAGTTTACTTGACTGACTGCTTTACTTCCACTTTAAATGTCACTTTAAGCTAAATACTAGTATCTTGAAAAATATCTAGTCAAATATTATTTACTGTCATCATGAAAAAAATAAAAGAAATCGGTTATTAGAAATGAGTTATTAAAACTACTATGTTTAGAAATGTGATGAAAAAATCTTCTCTCTATTAAACAGAAATTGGGGGAAAAATATACAGGGGCGCTAATAATTCTGACTTCAACTGTATTGACCTTATTCTAAAATGCGGAAGTGCGCCTGTTTTCGCGATTGTCTTAGAACTTCCGATTCAGTCACCTATGGGAGAAATGACTAGGAATAATAAACGGCAGAAAATGGCCAAACTACTTGCTCAACAAACAAATGTTTGCATGACTACACAGACCAAGTAGCATAATATAATAAGAAAATATTAAATTGCAACATCAAGCAGCGTAACAAGCAGTTGTTAACGTCAAAAAATAAATGAAAGTGAATGTGACCGGAAGTCGCGAGACAAAAAGATTCAAATGGCAGCGCCCACTCGTCAGCTGAGAATAAGGTGAATATGCACAAAACTAACCTGGCTGAAAGCAGTCGGAGGCCTAAATCCAGACTTTCTCCCTTCAGCTCCTGCAGAGAGATGATTCGGTTCGCTGAACTGACTGGCAGTGGATCTTCTGTCCCGAGCGGTTTCGAAAACTCTTGCAGAAAACTCTCAAGAAACGTCCTGACATCTCCTTTTTCTGCGCCACTCATGCTGAGTACTGAGGAGGACGTCAGCGAGCAAGACTGAATGCAAACTTGATGTATGAATCTAGACAAAAACATAAAAGAAAACATGGACCTTTTCACAAGACTGTTAAGACTCGTTTAGCAGTCATCAGCATCTTAAATCCTTGAACATTTTTAATATTTAGATTTAAAAACAAACGTATGAACATTTATATCCGTTTATGTTTGTATTATATCATCTTTGCATTAAATTACATAAAACAAATTATCACTTGTGGGAGGTGTTCATAACGCAGCGTCTACGGAGTAACCAATGTTGGGCAAGCTACTTGAAAAATGTAGTGAGCTAAGCTATTAGCTACTCTACTTAAAATGTAGCTTAACTACACTAAAAGCTACCCTCTGGGAAATGTAGCAAGCTAAGCTAAAAGCTACTTTTAAAAGCAACATCTAATTTTTTTTTGCAATTTTTTGCAATTGTAATGTTAAATCGAAGCAACTTAAATCCAAGTCAATCATTTCTTAGTGATCAATGAATCATATGTGGCAGAATTGTTCAGTTCAGGTATTTACTGCAAATAACATGCGGTACTAAACAGAAACACATTATAGTATAAAACAGCAAAAACAAAAAAACAATAAAAGTGTTACACAATTAAAATACTATAGTAATTTATAGTAAAGAGAAATATTTAGGAATAAGCACAATATTGTATATTAGGGGTGTCACGATTTAGATTTTTAATCGAAATCGATCGAAATTTATGCTCAATTTCGATTATCGAATCAAAAAATACAATCGTCGATGCTGCCACGCCCCCATGTCACGTCAGCTTGGCTTGCCAAGCGGGAAAAAAACAGGCTTGTTGAAGTGCTTGTTGAACTGCAGATACAGGAGCTTATTATACAGGCTAATAATTTTGTCCCTAAAATGGAGTTAAAAAATTAAAAAACTGTTTTTATTCTAGCCAAATTTAAACAAATATAACTTTCTTCAGAAGAAAAAATATTATCAGACATACTGTGAAAATTTCCTTGCTCTGTTAAACATCATTTGGGAAATATTTAAAAAAGAAAAAAAAATTCAACGGTGGGTTAATAATTCTGACTTCAACTGTATATAATAAAAAAGTACCACAACTTTGAATAACTTGGATAGACATACATGCAGCTTTGATTTAAAAGCAATTTTAGATTCCAAAATATTAAACAAAAATATATTTTTTTATTTATTTAACATAAAATTAAATAACCGTACAGTATTTCTTCTTTGTTATGCAACTTCTAGAAGGTTTTTGTACCATAATATATTTTGAAATGACTTTAGCAATATTCTCTTCTATTAAACAAATACTATACATATTAACAAATTATGACAATTTCTGTTTGAATGGGTGATTTTTAAAAAGGTTTTTAGAAATCCATGCAAAACAGATAGCCAATCAGATTATTCGTAAATGGCCCTCTATCAAGATTAACCAAAGGCGTGTCTGAGGCAGGGCTACCAATTTGATCAATCTATAAATAACAACACTTATTTATTTATTTTTATTTACTCTTCAAGATTCATTACATGTAAATAACAAAAAATAAAACTCCAATTCTAAATTTTCCATCTGTAAAATGTGACAATTTTCCACTTTGTGTGACAATCCTTTCAGCATATTCTTCGCTTTCTGCAAATAGTGACTATAAAGTTACTTAAACATTACAGAATATATCTAATATAAACAGTGCACTAAAATAAACTACGAACACATCCTTATGTTGTTCCCCTTGTTGTTTAACCAAAACCATCACAAAGCCAAACTTAGCGTCTTACCAAGTAACTGCAATGTATTGCATGCAGAAAACTTTAGCGGACTACCTGTTTGATTGAACTATAAATAAAGACTTTTTTAGTTATTTTAATACACTCTTCATGATTAATTATATGTAAATAACAAAAGAAAACTTGCAATCTGATAATCACATCCGTAAAATGGGACACAATTTTCCACTTTCAGTGACAATTTTCTGCCAATTCTTCTTGTAAATTTTTAATATAACGATACCTTAACATTACAGACTACATCTAATACACACAGTGCACTAAAACAAACTACCAGCACAGCACTATGTTGATCCCCATGTTGTTTACGCAAAAAAAAAAAAGAACAGACAAAGACATCCTTAGTGTCTTACCAACTAACTGCAATGTACTGCACACAGGAAACTTTTTATACAACATAATTATTTAATAACAATATTTTTAAATAGCAAATTTCGATTATTCTTTTCTATAAAAAAAGACTATAAATAATCACGAATTGGGACAATTACAGTTCTGATGGTTCATCTTTAAAAAAAATTTGAACCTCTATGCAAAATAGACAGTCCTATATGACCCTCTGTTTACATTATCCAATAGCGTGTGTCTGGGGCAGGGCTACCCGTTTGATCGAACAACAAATAACGACGATTTTAATTTACTTTTATGTTCTGTTCATTATTAATTATATATAAAATTTGACAATTTTCCCCTTTCTGTGACGATATTCAACCTTTCAGTCACATTCTTTGCTTTCTGCAAATAGTGACTATAACATTACTTAAACATTACAGGAAGTATCTAGCAGAGATGCCAAAACTAGGGCCCGCAGGCCAAAGTTGGCCCTTTGTATCCTTTGATTTGGCAGAAGGAAAATGATTGGGAAGGGTTTCTATTATAATGTAACTTTTGTTTGGTTGTTTTATTTGTGAGTTACAAAAAAGCAAACGGAAATTAAATTTTTCAATTAAACGTTGTAAATGAATCTGATTTTTAAAAATGTACATACTGTCACTTAAAGCAGTGGTTCTCAAACATTTTCCATCAAGTACCACCTCAGAAAAAAATTTGTCTCTCTAAGTACCACCAAAATGAGTAGTATTGAAATACAGTAGTGTAGTAGGCCCAGTAAAGCAGCTACAACTCTGCACAGTTAAAAAATCATGGCAGATTACCTTAGAAATATAGGCTATATGTCATATATGGCATATTATATACATCATTTTTGGTAAACTTTGAAATGTGTGTAGCATGTACATGACATTTCATTCCTCCGCGTACCACTAGAAGGAAGCATTCGTACCACTAGTGGTACACGTACCACAGTTTGAGAACCACTGACTTAAAGAATAGGGGACAAAGCAGAAGACATCAGCGTACAAATCAAGCCAAAGGCACGTTCAGCATGACTTCGACATTGAAATGTCATTCATTCATTTTCTTGTCGGCTCAGTCCCTTTATTAATCCGGGGTCGCCACAGCGGAATGAACCGCCAACTTATCCAGCAAGTTTTTACGCAGCGGATGCCCTTCCAGCCACAACCCATCTCTGAGAAACATCCACAAACACATTCACACACACACTCATACACTACGGACAATTTAGCCTACCCAATTCACCTGTGCCGCATGTCTTTGGACTGTGGGGGAAACCGGAGCACCCGGAGGAAACCCACGCGAAGGCAGAGAGAACATGCAAACTCCACACAGAAATGCCAACTGAGCCGAGGCTCGAACCATTAACCCAGCGACCTTCTTGCTGTGAGGCAACAGCACTACCTACTGCGCCACTGCCTCGCCATTGAAATGTATTGTTTTATAAATAGATTTTTTTCTAGTTTTATTGTTATAGGTTTGTTAAAATAATGTATAGATCTTTTTGAAGGATGTAAACAAAAACAACGATTCCAACATACTGCCTGTTTTACATTCTTAATTTCTACAGCTCCAGAGAACTCAAATGGAGCCACATATTGATAAATATTGTTATGATAGCTGTTTAAACATTAAGTTGTGATTGAACTGCATCTTGTTACAGATTTGAAATAGTTTGATAAGCAGGACATGTTTATGGGCCAATGGCATGACCACATTGAAATGGTCTATATTTTCAGAGAATTAGGATACATTAGTAAGTATGGTTAGAGTATTTTTTTAAATATTATTAAATAAATTAGGAAATTAGATTGGCACCTTTAATGTAGCACAGTTTGCTATGTTTACGTTCGGCCCACAGTTCTCAATCAAGCTTGGATTTTGGCCCTTTATAGGAAAAAGTTTGGACATCCCTGGTATCTAGTATACACGTAGTGCACTACAAACTACAAACACAACCCTATGTTGATCTCCATTTTGTTTACGCAAAAAAACATTGCAGTCAAAGATAAACTTAGTGCCTTACCAACAAACTGCAATGTACTGCACACAGGGAACTTTGGTTTAATGCGTAACTGCATTAACTGCAGGGCTTCATAGGGTAACTTCAGCATGTCACTTACTACTACTACAAACACACACACATGTCGCCATTTGAAAGCAGAACAACCGGGCCTTTAACTATAAACAGCATCTCATTAGTTTAATTAAAAGCGTAACAGAAGACACAGCCATGCATAAACGTGCAGTATGTACCTTTGCGGATGGTTGGCGTTGTTTTATTCGCAGACACTCCCTTTTTTCCCTGACGAGTGCGGTTTGATGTGCTCGTACATGAACGCACGCCCTTTCAGTCACTACACAACAAAAGCCCGTCCGTCTGCGGAAGTCTCCGTGACCGACAGGATGTACAAACACGGCGAGATATAAGTACAATGGATGAGCGTGTGAGGCAAGTAGAAATGAATGAAGACCATCCGTTTTGTATGCAGATCGACACGGCTGCCTAGTAGACGGCGCTTGAGCTTCCTCATGAATATTAATACTATCAGTGTCACGCGCTAACCAATGAGCGTCCAGTTATTCCGTATTTAATATTAATAAGCCAAAGTTCTGCCTCCAGTGACAGGGAAATGTTCATTTGTTTCATCGTATGGTGAGTTACATTATTTTTACATTTTTTATCCTTGATAAAAATAGGAAAATCCTAACTGCAGATAAAAGTGTTCCTCCAATTGCAATGGTTAAATGGAAACAAGCATTCTTCTTTTCCTCAAAAATCTGGTCAGATATTACAAAATACAAAATTCCTAATAAAGTAAAAGAAACTAATTTTAAAATATTACAAACATATTATCCATGCAATGATTTTATAAGTAAGTTCAAGGAAGGTTTTTCACCCTTGTGTTGTTTTTGTAAAATGGAACCGGAAACATTTCTTCATTTATTTTTCTGTTGCAGTTACACAAAACCCAAGTTTCCTTACTACTTTTTGAAATGTTTTATAAATTTATCATTATAACTGAACAAATGGTTTTATTTACGGATTGCAACTCTGGATTTCTGGAAATGGACAAAATAACTAAAATTCTGATTTTATTTGGAAAGTATCACATCCACAAAACAAAATGTATGCTGACTGTACCAAATTGTAAACTATTTTTTATTGATCTAAAACTTTTTTAAGATTCCCTCACTGCTATACAAAGTAATACCAAAGCTATTAACACATCTCAACTACTGGAAAAAATACTTAATGTACACAATTAATTTTTGTTGTTAATTCCATTGTGTACTGTTTTATGTATAACTCTGTACACCCCTGTTTGATCAATAATAAAAAAAAAGAGTTAGATTATTATTTTTTAAAAATTGGTTTAAAAAGTTTTTTTTTTTTTTTTTTCTGGTGGGACAGGTATTATATCGCCAAGGTTACTTAATGACTTATCTCTTGGTCTGAGTTCATTAGATGTTTAAATTGGTCTAAATTGGTTAAAGAGGCCCTATTCAAAACTCTGCATAAATCTTGCCCTGTCAAACATGTTCTTTCCAAGTTCAAACAGGACATAGACTGAAACCGTTCATTTTGTTTGTCACAGCCAGAAACCGTGCCACATATCTTTTGGAATTATGCAGTGCAGCTAGTCTTTTTCAGCCAATGATAAACTTCCGGTGAAAACTTGATGTGACTATTTTCAATTTCATAAGGTTGCTTTTACAGCATAGATGTTGTAATGTAATTATAATACATTCAGTTAAACAGACTTAAGCATGCATTTAGTTGTTCAAGCGTAAAACGAGATTAAAAACCTGTGTAACTGCTAGCGATGTCAGGATCAGCAGGCGAGCGTAGAAACTCCATTGAAAATACTGGGGTAAAATATCATATTTTAAAGAAATGCAATTTAATGCAGTGCTTCTTGTCCGCTCTAAGACCCATATATTGTATATCTATCAGGCAGTGAAGATCACTGATTTTTAAAGAAATCAGACCTTAAATGTGGCAATTTTATAATGAAAGATGCTGGAATTTTATAACAGGAAGCGCTGCGGCTGGCTGGGTGAAATTAAAAGTCCTTGTGCATACGAGATCTCCAAATTCATTAACAACAAATATTGCCACATTTTCATGTTTAATACCAACATGTTGTTTATTGGATCTTAGAACATAAAAAAAAGAACAAGAAGCTTATGTTATTAATCTTTTGATAATATTTAAAAAGTACCATATTTACAGATGCAAATGTAATAACCAAAAACCATGTTATCCAGCTAAATGGGAAGAATTAGAATATTAAACGAACAGCATTAAAGCAAAGGACTAACAAAAAAAGCCATTAAAACTGTTTTTTTCTTTACAAGATTTTGTAATCCCGCAAGACCCTTACCACTGGCCCTTACCCTTTCTTAGTAGGCATATAATTGTCTGTCTTATTTTCATTTAGCTTTTTTTTTTGTACACCCCTGACCTTTTTTTTCTTTTTTTTTCTCATTTGTATTGATCTGTACTTTGTTCTTTAACCATTAATAAAAAAAAAATGTAAACAAAAAAGTTTAAAAAAAACTGAATGGGAGACACAGAGGAATGCATATAGGATGTTGTATATTTTTGTTCAGTGCACTTTAAGGTTTTATTTGTGTTATTTACGAGCTGTTTGATCCATGTTTTTTTCTGAAGGTTTTACTTTATTCCACTGGGTGACAGTAAAGTATTTTTTTAAATAAAATAAAACGTTTCTGTCTTATAAAAATGACAAGACAGGCCAGTAGCCACGTTTTTCCAAAGGTGGATCTTTTTGCAGTTATACGCCTCATTTTCTATTTAATTATAAGATTTAAATACTGCATTTAAGTAACATTTAAAGCACTATTTTAGCTAGATTAGCTTGTCGGGTGGTCATCATAACCAAACTTTTTGATGTACCAAAAATATTTCTTAAAGATTTCAAATAAAGAAATATGAAAAAATGCTTTTTTTTAAAAAATAAATAATTTATGACGTCATATAATTCGGGAGAAAAATAGGAATTTGTTAATGTTTTAAATTAAAAACTGGTGCCTATTTTTATGCATCAGGCAAATAACAAACTGGCCAGCAGATTACATTATCCTCAATCAGAATTTTACCATTTCAATGAAAAATAATTAAAATGTAGTAGTAATAATAACAATAAAATAAATAATAATAATAATGATATTAACAATGTAAAGCTTGATGATTTTTCTAGCCTCTCTTGTAAAAAAGTGCATTTGTAAATTCATGGATAACAACAATAGCCAAAATAGTATTCAAATCAGTTTTTATACGGGCTGCTTTTGGTGCTTCACACCTTTTTATTGGTCGTTTATTTTGTTTTGTTTCAAGAATAAGGTCCATAAATGACAATAAAAGTTACTTATAAAATGTTTTCTCTATTTAAAACAATACAGTAGTCAATACTTTGTCAGTGTAGGGTAGGTCTTCCGAACCACTCAAACCTCCCTGGCTACTGGCCTGCAAGGTCATATTATTAATATTGTTGCCATTATTGTGATTAGCTATTAAAATTTTAACATGAAGTTACTCAAAAAACAAACAAACAACAAAAAAACCCCATCAAATTCATGTTTTGTTTTGTTTCCCCCTGCACACCATAATTCCCGGGATAAAAACATGAGACCAGAAAAGCACAAAAATCGAGTCATCTACTTTTGCAAATGAACTCTTGACTTCATATATTTTCATACTCTTCATAACCTAATTCAGACCAGCACAATAGGCTGCACAATATAAACTTTCAGCGCTGATAGTGGATTGAACATGAGATGCAGTTCACAACACATGAGATTTGTGGAGTCGCTGCAGAGTTTAACTTTGAAGGTGCTGATCATCAGCATGTCACACACATATTCATGTACAGTTAAAGTCATCCTGTTATTTCCTCTCTTGTGAAATTTGCTTTCTTTTCAAATATATCCCATGTGCTTTTTAACAGAGCAAGAACATTTTAACAGCATTTCCTAATATATTTTTCCTTCTGGCAGGGGAAAGTCTTGTTTCTATTGTTTGGCCTGAATAAAAGCATTTTTATACCACTGACTGGATCAACATTATTAAGCCCTTTTATAAATGTTTTTCCTTTTCTCGATTGACTACAGAACAAACTGTTGTCCAATGACTTGCTTAAGTAACTTAGCAACGCATTTAGGCTAAATTGCGTTTTAAACTGTCCAGAAAATCTCTAGTTAACAGAATCCGCAACCACAGCATAAGATCCCCACCTAGGGGTCAATAATAAGAGCTGCTATACTTCACTGATATGTTGGTCTTTTTTAGATCACTTGGTTTGCGTTTTAAGGCATACATTTTAGTTTTATTTATTCATCAGTTTTCTAAATATTTACTCTATCTTTACCTAATATTGGCCTATAGCTTATATCGTAGCTACAATCAAATTTCATAGTTCGCAAAAGTCACAAAAAACAGGTAAAACTATCGCCATTACAATAAATTTGTGTGAAAACCTGCAAGAACAACCTGATCTAAAGGTAAGCAGTTAATATTTCCACTGTTTGTATTCTTCCTGCTTTTCTTATCCATTTTACAGTAGATTTAACGTTACTTTCTAATAATTATGTATAATTTAATGTTAATGCATTCACCTCATTGGTTAGACTGCTCATGCCATTTCTTAAACACTTGACAGGCTTCCTTCATAAAATCAGTAGCCTATGACAAACGCATTTCTAAACTAGAACTACAATTGACAGCCAGCTTTCCCATGGAGAAAGCACATATAACTTGCATATATATATATATATATAGATATATATATATATATATATATATATATATATATATATATATATATATATATATATATATTTATATATATATATAAATATATATATATATTTATATATATAGATATATATATATATATATATATATAAATATATATATATATATATATATAGAGAGAGAGAGAGAGAGAATATATATATATATATATATATACACAGTGTATATATATACAGTATATGTATATATATATATATATATATATATATATTAAGGGTGGAGCTGAACCCGAATACGGTATTCGGAAAGGCACGAATAGCGTGTTTAGCGTGTATATATGATTTCCTACCCTGTTAAATCATTGTTGATAACTTAAGTGAGAATCATTAACATGATCAGTGTCTGCATGGATGAATATCATTAATTATTACCAATAACAAAGTATAATTAAAAGTAAATTGAGCAAATATGTTATTTGAGAAGCGTTTACCAAACTGGTAGCCCTCTCCACATTAATCGTTACCCAAGAAGTAGCTCTCAGTTTCATAAAGGTTGGTGACTCCTGCAATAGAGAAAATGCTATTCATGCACACAACGTTCACTTACAAGTGAATTGGCACATTTGTTATTTTAGTTAATTTGATGCAGAAACATTATTTTTTACATTTTTATTTA